CCTTCTTCGTTACGACGGAAAAGTATATATTCCTAGCTTTGTATCTTTTAAGTAAGAGATCCTTCGACGGAATTACGATAATCCTATAGCCGGATACTATAGCACCGTACGAACCTAGTATATTATCGCTACTAAGTATTATTAGCCTAGGATTACTAAGGAAGTATCTAAATACGTCTCCTAATACGATATCTATTAAAGAACGAAAACTAAACACTATAAGCCTTACGGTCGGCTACGCCTACTAGAGGTCCCTAAGGTGCCCTAGAGGTACCTCTTTATAGACTTTATTACTAGGTTACCGCCTTCTATTAGGTTTAGAGGTCGTATATATAACTCCGTCTTAGTTATTGTCGATCGGTTCTCTAAAATAGTACGTTACTTTCCCGTTACGAAGGATATTAACGTAGTTATACTAGCCGAGCTTTTCTTTAATAAGATCGTCTATAATACTAGAGCTCCTAATAAGTTAGTTTCCGATCGGGGATTAATTTTCACTAGTGCCTACTAGAGTGCTTTCTACTACTATCTCGCTATTAAGCGCCGTCTTAGCACTGCTTTTTATCCTTAGACCGACGGTTAGACTAAGCGTATAAACTAGTAGCTTAAGAACTATCTCCGTATCTACTATAATTAGGACTAAGACGATTAGGCTCGGTTGCTATATACTACTACGTTTGCTTATAATAGCAAACCGTATAATAGGCTTAGTAGTAAGTCTCTAATTAAGGTTGCCTTCGGTATTAAACCGAACCTTCCTAATAGTATTAAGATCGTATCGAGTAGGGAATACGAATACCTACCTCTAGGGTACCTCGATAGTATCTCGCTAGTACCGCCGAGGAGTAAAAAGCTCGTAGGAGAAGCGTATACGTTTCTATCTAATAGACTAAAAGACTTCGAAGAAGCCCGCTCCTCGCTCTAGTATACTTAGGAACTATAATAACGCTACTACGATAGATTAACGAAGGATAAGCACTTCGCTATCGGTAATTAAGTCCTATTATTAGCAAAGAATATTCGTACGAAGCGTCCCTACCGTAAGCTCGATAATAAATATCTTAGACTCTTTACTATTATAGAGCGCTTCGGAAGCTAGGCTAATAGGCTTAACCTGCCTCCGTCGATAAAGCGCTTATACCCGGTATTCTATATATCGCTACTAGAAGGATATAACGCTCGTAAGGGTTACTAACTACCCCCTATCGACGATATCGAAGAGAATAGGTCGGAGGAAGAGTATAAGGTCGAGGAGATCGTCGCTTATAAAGGAAGAGGAAAGGATAAGAAGTTTAGGGTTAGATAGAAGGGGTACTCGCCCGAATAGGACGATTAGATAATAGAAGAGTAGTTAGCTTATTCTCTAAATCTACTCGTAGAGTATAAGGAGAAGATTAGAAACGCTACTAGTACCTAAAGCACTATAGAGGTACCTTAGAGGCTCTCTAAGAAGGCTCGCGAGACCCTACCGACGACCGAAGTATCTTCTTCTCGACAGCCTAGTCTCCGACTAAGAGGAAATTAAGATAGTACTAGTAGGTAAACTTTATAGAAGTTATTAATATTACCGGGCGACCGTTATTAATTTCCTAGCTATCTAGGGTATCCTCTTCTTATTTAGGATAATAGTATTAAAAGTATACTCGTTCGTAGAACCTCCCTATCTCTACTTATACGCTAAGCGTACCTAAGGTATTCTCGAGTTACGTATATTCTCGCTCGAAGAATTTATAAAAATAACACTCTATGCCCTACCTACTTAACCTAAGCCCCTCGTAGGTACCTCCGATACCTCTCGAGAGTCGAAAGTCCCTTAGCGGACTTTACGGCTAAGGAAGATTAGACGCTAAAACTTCGTACTAAGATACTTCTTACTAATCGCCTTAAAATACTACTACTCTATTTCTTTATCGACGGTTATATTCTAACCCTCGGCGGTTAGATTAACTAAGCGTCCCTTCGAGAAAGCCTCCTAAGCCGCCTAATAGTTAGCCTTTAGCTAGTTATCGTAATTCGACTAATCCTAGCTAGAGGGTTTACGGTTAAGAAGATTGTCGTTCTTTAGGCGAAGGCGGATATAGTTATAGCCTGCCTATATCTTATCGGCGTAGTTACGCTAGTCCGCCTTACGGCGAAGGATGTTTTAATAAAGAGCGCTATAGTTATTAATACTTACCTTAGCGCGGCGACGGAGGTACTCGAGGAAATTAGCTATACGCTATATTATAGGAGGGATCTATATAGCGGATTAGCGGGTGCCTCTAAGGCGCCTCGTAGGCGACACTTATAGGCTTGTAACCCTAACCCTATATAGGTCTATATCGGCCGCACTTTGTATCTTCCTTAAACTCGTAGCTATCTAGTATAGAAAGCTACTTACCGATAGTTATCTTGTTTATGCCGATATTCTAGCTCCTACGGACGCACTCGAAGTAGATAGTATAGCTAGTACGAAGCTCTAGGCGAGGCTCGAGAACCGGACTTACTCTATAGAAGTTAAATAGGACGTCCTTAGAAGGGGTATTAGCCTCGCTATCGGCGTAGAGGTAGCTATCGTTATAATACTCCGAGGGGCTACCGCGACCTAAGGTCTTCTAAGCGTACGTAAACGAGTTGTCTAAAGCACTACGTAGTACGCCGCTACCGCCTTAATTAATAGGAATAAAACTACAGCCGCTACTACTACCGGAACCTAAAGCTATAATAAAAGGGTTAGCGAGAGTCAGCTCTTATAATAACGGCGGTAATAGCAGTACTTAAGAAGTATTAGCCTTAGTATTTAAGGGGCTAGGAGAAGTATATTAGAGCAGAGTAGTATCGAGCGGACGATCTAATATTAGTTAGTATTAACGAAAAGAAGAAGAAGGTTATTTAACGAGACGCGCGCTTTTAACCCTAGCGACCTATACTCACTTCGTACACAGACGCTTCTAGCATCCTACAGGCACCTTAGCGGTAACTTAAAGAGGTCGTAAGTAAGGCGTATATAACGTAGATAACGTAAAGGGTCGGCGTAACAAATATACCCTTATTAATCGTTATCCCTAGTAAAAACTAAGTAGACCGACCTCGACTACTTCTACGCTTTAGCGTATAAGCGCTCTTTACATTTCCCGGGGAAACTATAGTATTCGGTAGATATCGAGGGCGAAATTATAGGAAGGAGAAAGTAGAAGAAAAATACGCAATTATCTAATTCCTAGTAGCAAACAAACCCTATATATAAAAGTTCCCTAAGTAAAGGAGTAAGTAGGTACCTTTAGGAACAAATAGCGCGTTCTAGGGCTAAGCCTAATAAGCGTAACTATATTATAGGACGGCGCCGAGTAGATACCTATATATACGGCAAGACTACGCCTTAGCGAATAGCTCTTTAGTTGTTTAGCGCTTGCTATCGATACTAGTAGTTCCTACTAGAAGTAGGGCGAAGGTCTATATATAACTACTCTCTAGCTACCTACTCTTCTCGGGGCGTAGGCCCTATACAGAGGCACCTTAGAGGTACCTCTATCCTACTATCGACGTTCCGTAGTAATATTTCTACTACTAGACTACGTACTGCTATACTAACCTAGTAGTAGCGTAGGAAAGCGCAAGTAGTAAAGGAGATAGCGGCGTAGGAAAAATATATAATCTAAGGATAGGCTATCGAGAGGGGGGGATACTATAAGGGAATACCCTTTTATACCGCCGAGACCCTTACTAGGTACCTATAAAACACCCTAGAGGTGCCTCGCTAGTAGCTCCGAGTTACCTAACTCTTAGTACTATAGGATAAGGCGCCTGTTCTTGTCTCGAGAATCGCTTGTTCCTTAGGCGATATTATTAAATGCTAAGACTACTATTTGCTCGTATTAATACTCCCTATATACTACTTTCTTATAATAAGCGAGATAGTATAATTAGTTCTTTTAGAATTTAATAAATAATTAGCGTCCGAATAATAAATCTTAGCACTAGCGCGGATTATTTAGTTATCTAAGCTATATCTAGCTACAGTATAAATAGCTATATATTCTAAGTAGTTAGTATAACGTCGTAGTAGTATACGTAGCGTAGCTAAATACGATATTTTAATTAGCTAAATAGTTAGATTTAGTTAGCTAGTTTACTAGATTAGTAGCTAGATTAGTAGCTAGTTTAGTAATAAGCGAGGCGCTACTAGTAACTATTATACAAATAGAAAGCAGTACTTACTAAGTAGTTAAATCGTAGAAATAGTAAGAAGTAGCAGGAACGGCTAGGAAGCTTCTAGCACGTTACGGCTATAACCGAAATTAGCTAGCGCCGCGCTAGCAGGGATTACCGCCGTCCGCTATCTCGCTTAATTAGGGTGTATGTATCTACTCCGCACGGGGGCACTTCCAGCCTTCTAGGCCACAAGCTAGCACTCAGCTCGACTCGGATCTTCTGCTTGCCCTGCCAACTTGCATCATCTCTACATGCATCTTGCAATTGCTCCACCAATGCCAGTCCGCCATGATGGATCGCAATCCCGGAGACGATCAACAAAACAGTGAGAGCCCCGACCCGCATCCGGCATCATCTGCAAATATGGGAAAGTCCTTTGATCTACTCAATCCAAAGCCATGGGCATCCCGAAGGCACTCGTACACTAGTGAGACTGCCAAGCAGCTCGAAGCACTCACAGAGCAACTCTTGGCCGAAGCTTCGAAGCAGGACTGGCGAAATCCTATATTTCGACATATGGATCCTGAATTCTCCGCAGAATTTGAGCACAATGGGGGAAGAGTCCTCGACAGCTGGCAAGCTTATGTGGATCATCACACCAAGGTTGTAGAAGCGAATCCTGGATACCGCTTCGAGGTCTTGAATGTAGCTGGGGACGTGTACGAGTCGTCTGGGTCAGCCATCATCTACGCATTGCTCAAGGTTTTCGACCACCCAAAGGATGTCGTTCGCGAGAGCATTGTCCTAATGCAGTGGCGCCGAAAGCACAACGAGTGGAAATGCTACAAGGAGCGTGTCATTCGTGGCATGGATTGGAATACGTAGGCCGGGCTATCTGCGATGTTCTACCGTCCTATCAGTGAGCACCGACCGTGGTTTCAGCAAATTTCCAGTACAAACGCGCGGAGCCTCTTCGCATGGCCTTGCCATACTTGATCATAATCAGGAATGTCGCCATACACGCCAAAGCTACGAAGCCGGCGGTAATGAAGCAACTCGTCAGGCCCATGTTCGTATACCATGGCGTTATGGCATACGAGAATCCGAAGCCAATTGTGTTTCGAATGATGATGATGGAGGCCATCGATTCGCCACTGATCTCCTTGAAACAGTCGACCGCATAAGAAAGGCCGATACTTCCACCTACGACCACGCCAAAAGTCATCATCATGAGGCCGAAGATAAGACCGATCCAATGTACGTGATGGTCGGCTCCTACACCCCAGGTGATCAAGCCGACAGCGGAGAAGGATCCGGCTATCGCAAGTGGCCACAGACGGTGTTCAGGTTCTCGAGTGCCGTCTACACAACTGTCAGCGAAGCACTCCCGACATGATGTTGAGTCCATCTCGAGGCTTACTATTACGTCGCGCCAGATACAGCGCAAGCTTATCGGCCACGATGCCTGACCACAAACAACCCAAACCTGCTCCAATCAAAGGTCCAACATAAATGGTTCCAACCAACGCCGCTCGCCAGCTGTATGGAGGAGCACTCAGAACAGGACTTGCTGTCCCGTTCAGAACATTATACCAGCTCAGGTTGATGCCATAGATGAAGCCGGCCCAAGCTATATTCGGAAACCGGATGATGATGAGCAGAGGACGCCACATCATCGTCAGTACCTCTTTGATGCTCGGTCTGCCGTCCCAGAGTACAAACCACTTCAACTTCTGTTTGTTTGTGCGCGCCGGCTGGAACGATGGCTGAGACGTGCCTTTCTCTGAGACTGCAGGCGAATCAGCACCAGATTTCGCAGACGACTTCTGAGTGGGCTTCTCAATAGTCTTGGTGATGAGCTCGGGTGAAGCTTCCGAGGGCGGCGTGTCAACCTCAATGCCTTCCACAGTATGACGAAAGTACATGGTCTCTTCCATTCCGAAGAAAAGGATGATAAAAGCGACAGCGGCGATGATTGCGCCTGCATGCATTGTCCATCTCCATCCAATTCCGTCGTCCATCCATCCTGCCATAATTGGCGAGATAAAGTTGCTTCCGAACAAGACCATCACGTACGTTGACATCCAAGTACCGCGCTCGTGGGCGAAGAACAGATCAGCTGCAGCAAATTAGCATTGTATCTATGCTTGGACAATGATACGTACGAATGGATATCTCCGGCAAAGACTCAATAGGCGAGCACACAATTCCGATGAATACTCTGTGGCCATACCATTCTGCGGCAGATGTCGAGTAAGCAGTCCACACCATAGTCGGAACGAGCAATAGACAGGAGATAAGATACACTCCTCGTCGTCCGTACGCCATAGCGATCGGCTGCCAAAATAGGCAAGCCCAGCCAAGGAACAAGAACATGACTCCATTTCCTTGGACGAGATCTGTTGTTGAGATACCGGTATCACGAGTGATATCCGCAATCACTGAGTAATGCAGCGTAGTCGGTATTCCCACACCAAGAGTATATACATATACCATGAAAAGACTCCAGAACTTCCTTTTCCGTGTCCAATTCAGAGGGTCTTCTGGGTCTTTACTTGGCTGTGGAACCAGCACGATTCTGGAATCGCCGCCCTCCAGATGTCGTCCATGCGTCTCGTGGCCTTCGATATCAATCAGATGGACTGTTCCAGGCACAATGTCGGACGCGATGGTCGTGATGCTATGCTGTCGTGCCGCCATCTCTGCAGCGAGCCTGATGGACAAAGGATGTTGTCGCAGAATGCATGAAGAGAAGAACGCGCGCTGAAACATTCAATGCGTGCCGAACTGGCAGAGATAGGGCAACTACCGATGCCCTCCGCAATCCAGGCAGCTGGAAGCACGATATGAATCACATGATGCGCCGCCAGCCATGATACGCTTATCAGCACATGCCTTATCGTCTCATTTACCAGTCCTTCTTAAGCTCGCTATCACATTGGACAACAATCCGAATTCGCCGTTGGTCCAAAGATACTGAAAGTTGCCCGAATGGGGGTTATCCTTGTCAATATCCTTGTCAGCCACGGCACACCTATGTAGATTCGATTCGATTTTTCCTGTTGGTTTTGATTGGCTCATAAGCGACGACGAAAACCTCACACATCTCCAACCCTACGAGGCACAGCCTCGTTTAAGACACTGCTGAATGGAACATACTATCAACAACCGCGAGAGAAAGCATGCGTACCTGCTTCAAGCCGTGGTCATGAACCTACATTTTGTCTGTCGACTTTGGCCCGGCAGGTCCTGGGAGTCAAAGAAGAATTCATAAACAGGCGTGGATCCATGTCGACGAGTAGTCTTTCATGGAGTATCAAAGAAGCCAAGACAGTATTGCAAAGACGAAGGATAGTTTGAGTAAAGCTACCTTTCATCGCTTCGCCATTGACTTGGGCTTGAGAGTAGAAAAGACGGGGTTGTTCAAGGTTCAGCTCGGTATGCCACAAAAGCACAGCCGAGTGGATTCGACAATCATGACCGTCTCAATATCGGCAGAATTCAAGCTCCGGTTGTGAGGTGAATCACGCAGAATTTGGGGCTCCTCCGAGAAGCTCTGAAGCCTTGATCCCGAACAGCAGGTCTGAGTCGTCTTTGCATTGTACTTCGAAGGTCTGTGACACCAGGCGCTCGTTCGGCCGAGGTTGACTTCGTCCGGCTTTGAAACTCTAATACATCTTCAGCCGCGGACCAAAGATAGATCAACCAGCTTCGTCTTTCGCAGGTCAAACACCGTCTGCCAAAGATGGAGACCGCCGCTGAAGTCTGTGATCTCAGGTGCTATAAGTATCCAAATTCTGCAAAACCGATGTCCAAATCAAATTCAGCAACACGAGCGCGCCTTCAATCGCAATGGAGGCGAAGCGATCGGATTGGGGATTGGACTTGCTCCACGAAGTGCGATCTTGGATCTATATCCTAGCTCTCCTAGGGACAATCGTATACTATTGGAGAAGCAGATCTGCCATATTCCCTGTCGTCAATAAATACAGCTGGGACTTCACACGACGGAAAGCACATGCAGCATACATGCAAGATGCTCGAGGACTTATTGCACGAGGCCTGCGTGAGAAGAAAGGACCCATCACTCTCGACACACCTTCTGGGCCTCGAATCGTTCTTCCTTCATCCTTGACAGACTTCGTCAAGAACAACAAAGATCTCAACCACCAGGAACTCGTCTATCACGACTTCTTCGGCAACTATCCCGGATTCGAAGCGAACGCCGTCATGCACAATCCCGATAACGTGGTGATCGATACTATTCGCAAGAAGCTTTCGAACAACGCACGTTTGATTCCGATCATGAGCGAACATATCGGAGAGGGACTGGCAGGTATTTGGGGCGATGCAGAAAGCTGGCACGCTCTTGATTGGGTACCTGATACCATGAAACTTGTGTCGAGAGCTGCCTCTTGTGCATTCGCGGGAGAACATCTTGCTCGGGACGCAGAGTGGCAAAGGCTGACACAGACATATGCTACGAATTTCTTCTCTGCTGCCTTTGAGCTTAAGCGATGGCCACACTGGACAAGGCCGACTCTGCATTGGTTTCTGCCGGGAGCGACGGAATGTCGGAAATTGGTGAAGGATGTCAGCATTGCTACTCAGGCCGAGATCGATCGGAGACGAAAGGAGAAGGACGCTGGCGCAGAAACTGATTATCCCGATGCAATCATCTGGGCTCAAGAGATCGCTGGTGATAAAAAGATCAATCATGGTGCCATCCAACTCGCATTCGCAATGGGTGCTCTATTCACAACATCGGAAGCTTTGCGAGGGGTGTTGATCGATCTCTGCGAGCACCAAGAGCTCATCGAGCCGCTTCGTAAGGAGGTCCGTGAAGCACTATCGACGTCCGGTGTAACACTCGCGGCGCTCGCAAAGATGAACTTGATTGATAGCGTAATGAAGGAGTCCCAGCGACTGGGCCCTCCATCAATCGTCGGACTCGAACGCCAGGCGACAAAAGACGTCTATATGCCAGATGGCACCCGGCTTCCCCGAGGCACAATCCTTGCAGTTGATTCTTCAGACATGTGGAACCCGAGCATAAATCCCGATCCAGATGTGTACGATGGCTACAGATATTACAGGAAGAGAGAAGGCGGCGACAACCAGACATGCTTCGTTTCATCTACGCGAGAGCACAATGTATTTGGTATGGGCAAGCACATCTGTCCTGGGCGATTCCTTGCAGCAGTTGAGATCAAGCTGTGTTTGGCGCATATTTTGCTGAAGTATGATATTCGCCTGCAGAGAGGATGCGAACCCGAGACTATCAAGAATGGACTCTTTCAAATGGTAGATCCGGCGGCGAAGGTGGAGATTCGGAGGACGAGTGGTGGTGAAGCGAAGCTTTTATAATTTTTTTTAGAGATATCAGCGCAGCGGAATAATGCAGCGGTTTGCAGTATCGGCCTGAGTGTGCACCTGAGAGATTGAATGATGAGGTCTTCCAGTCATCCCCGTTTCGTCAAAACCCTGGAGGCCCTTGTAGCTGTGTCCTGGTGTATGCACTGGATCAATTGTAGAGGTCTCATAGATTCGCAGAGTCTTCAGCTAGATTTCTAAGACTTGTCGGTTTGCAAGAACTTCACATGGACAAAATCCACTGCTCTAATTCAAAGCCGCAAATAATGTGAAATCAAACCTCGACACGCGGTCGCTTGGCTAGCCAACAACATATTTCACAGACTAGCAATAGACACTCTTCACTCGCAATGGAGAGCGCTGCTTCGGACAACTGGCCCTCGGAGGGAGACCTGATCATTGCCACCACCGACTCGATCTGCCGCTACTGCCAGCGAAATGGCAAGAAGAAAGAATACACCGCAGGCTATCGACTTCGCGAGCATATACAGAGGGCCCACGCGCAACCCCAAGGCGACTACCCAAACGTCATGGTAGAGTCAAAGATGGTAGGAACGCGACGGAACCGAGCGTGAAGCGACGGCGACTCAACCGGCACTAGAAGAGCAAGCACCTGAAGCGAGAACCGACACCATCAATGAATCCACTATTGGCGGAGTGCACGATTACCTCGACCAACAGCCTCGCCGTCCAGTCTGGGCGCCGCCACCTCCTCCCTCGAATCGTGTATTCGCTCCTCTGTCCTCTGACACATCGCCAGACATTACATGCGCGTGCGGAAAGGTCCACATGTGGCCTGATTGCGGTACTCTCCTCCCCTGCGATTAGGAGCGCATTCGTCGATACTACCTCGCCGATACCTTCGCCTCGACAGTATACGAAGGCGCCAAGAGCTTGGAGAAGCATATGAAAGCGGAGCATCTAGGACTTGGACTTAGTAACAAGTACGAAAAGGTAGCTTAGGAGGAGCCGGAGAAGACTGAGGAGGAGCTGAAGGCGCTGTATAAGGAGTATAAGCGGGCGACGGCAGGGTTGATGGGACTGCCTTAGCCGTAAACGACTCAGGCCTGGCGATGAATCGAAGGTGTTGACGTCGCGAACCGTGTTTCCTATGTCGTAAGAACAATTGGAGCGTCCAATATGTGAATTTTGTCGACCGCTCACATGAACCATACATCACTCTTCTCTGGCGAGATGGCGAAGGTCCTGATGTCGCGAACCGATTCACCTATGTTGCAGGAAGAGTCGGAGCGTCTAATAGATTAGTCTCTATCGGCTGGCTATATACCCTAGTAGCAGCTCTGCTTTTACGCGGCAGCGCTGTTTACTATATCGACTCTACTATATCTAATACGATTAATTAGCCTATAAGTGTCTTCTATAAGCAGTTCGGGGAACTTAAATATATATTAGAACAGCTCGGATTTCGTACCGGCAGGCCTATAGATATTAAATACTAAATATTTAGTATTTAGAGACTTAGAGTGTATGCCTAGGTGTTAGGGTCTATTACGTGCCTAATACCTAAGGCTGCAACTACTGCACTCTATCTTCGGACTTCTATATAGATTAGTCCTTCTTCTAATACATTAGTTACATTAAGTAGTTATAAGCCCCCTACGTTTCTAATGCACATAACACGTTTACTACGTATTCTAATAGTTACTCCGACAGCTGCGTAGCTAGCGCTCGTTACTAAAAATTGCGCTAATACTATTATCGTCGCCGCCGCCCTCGAGGGTTCTAGCAAGTGCTAGTCCGACTCGAGTTATTAGTATTAGCTGTCCGCTATACTAAAACATAGGCGCGCCTATCGGCCGCCCCTTAAGACAAGTCTATAGTCTTATTTCTATATCGCCGTCGCTGTCCGCAATAGCTCCCCCTATAACTTCTAACGCTTATATAAGCAATATTCCTAAGCTAAAGAACAAGGAGAATTATCTAGCATAGGCCTACGCCGCTAAGGGTGCCCTTAAAGGCATATAGGTATAGCGCTATATCTAGGGGACCCGCCTAAAGCCTAAAGTTAAGCTATTATCTACTAAAACATAGGAGCAATTTAAAGACCGATAAGATAAATAGGAGGCAAAGGACTAGTTAGCGCGTACGTAGATATTCGCTAACTGTATATCGGAGATCTAGTAGTCGTTACTTAGACTCGATACCTCTAAGGTAGTATAGGATTATCTATATAAGAAGTACACTAGTAAAGGTAGGTCTACTAAATTTATGCTCTTCTAGGACTATATTACCCTTCGCTACGATAGCAAGGACGTCGAGAAGTTCTATAACGAATATAAGAAGAAGCTCGGTGCCTTAAAGGACACTAAATTAGCTATTAGCTAATATTAGGCTATTTATATGTTTATTATACAGATCTCTCTATTCTACGAGGCTTTTGCGTAGATGCGCTATAAGCAGATGCGCGCCTTAGAATATACTATTAATAATAGCACCCTTAACAACATTATTAGCGCGTTGCTTAATAAGAATATAGCTTAATTGAACTAGGCCTAGTATAATAGATTCTTTAGTCTTTAACGCTAACTATAATAGCAAGGTAGCAATAGCAATAGCAATAGTCGAGGTAACTCGAACCGTAGCGGTCGTAGTAGCCGCGGAAACAATAACAATACTAACGGTCGAGGCCGCGGTAGAAGTAACTAGAATGGTTATTAGTCTAACCGTAAGAAGTGCGCCTATTGTTAGGGATTATACCCTTCTAACCGCTGCTATACTAAGTACCCTTACCTAAAGGAGGAAGACCGACTGCGTCGTAAATAGCAGAAGGCTAAGAAGAAGGGGGTGCAGCAATAGTAGCAGCGTAGACTAACTGCTTAGCAGTAGCCGCTATCTAGTTAGAATAGTGCTTAGGGGCTATATACGGCTAATGCTACCCCGGGGGTGTTATTAGGCCTAAGCGACAATTACGCCTTTACCGCAAACACTATAGTTACTATTAGCGACTAGGTTTCTACGGCTCTTACTACTAGCACTCGTACTACTAATTAGGTTGTCGACTTAGGTACTAGTATATATATAGTTGACGACCCTTTATTGCTTATTAAATATAAAGGCTGTTACATTCCTATTCGGTTTAGTAGCAATACGAAGCACGCTACGATAGTTGGCATAGCTTAGACAGAGGTTGTTAATAAGCGTAGTATAAGCAACATAAAGTTATCTAATATACTATATATACCTAGTCTAGTAGCTAACCTTCTGTCTACTAAGAAGCTTGCCGATAAGGGTTGTTTCTATCGTAATAACAAGCGTATACTGTTTACGATAGTAGAGGGCAATAAGGTTACTATCGCTTAGATATACCGTAAGAATAGTCTCCCCTACCTCTATATACTAACCTCTAGTCTAGATAGTAAGGTAGTTGCCCTTTTGTTAAAGAAGGGGGTGCCTATAGGCACTATAGATAAATAGCATCTGCGATATAGCTATATTTATTACCGCAAGCTACTAAGAATAGAATCTAAGGGTCAAATCGTTATTACTAGTGCTAAGAAGGACTTCCGCAACTGCGTTGCCTGTCGCATAGCTATATTATATAAGGAATACAATCGGCTGCTACGCGTACGACTATCTACGATCTATTACATTGTCTGTGTTAATGTAGTTACTATTACTAATCCTAGTCTGTTGTAGGAGCGCTATTTCATACTATTTATATACGCTAAGTTAGGCTATCGATACGAATATACTAGCACGCTCAAGTTAGGGGCTGTAGTAGCTATTAAGGACTATCGTGTATATATCCGTATACAGACTAGTTACTTAATCCTAATCTACCGCCTCGATAGAGGGAGTAAATACGGCGGAAATTAGCTGTTAAATTAGGCTCGAGACGAGGGTATTATACTACAAGTTACTACACCTCATTCTTCAACTTAGAATAGCCTTGCTAAGGTTAGCAATTATATCGTATATACGACTACGAGAAAGATAATGCTGCAGGCTAACCTTCTAAAGTCTCTATAGCTATATGCTATTGCCTCCGCTATATAGGTCCTTAATATTACGCTAACCGCTAACGGAGGAAGCCTATACACTATTGTCGCTAAGGAGCTTAATTAGTTACGAACATAGCCGCGTCTTTAGCACCTTCGAGCGTATAGCTATACGTTAATTGCCTACGATTATAGTATTGCTCGTAGAAAGAAGATAGACAGCAGAGGTCTTGTTAGCAAGCTAGTTAGCTATACTAAGGGCTCTGTAGACTCTAGAAAGTACATAATCTACCTACCTAATTAACACAAGGTTATCGCTTCTAAGGATATTCAGTTTATTAAGTTAGATAGTAACCTTCTGCTTCTAAATAGCATAGATCTATACACTAATCCTAATAACCCTTCTAAGAGCGAGTTTATTAATATTAAGTCTATTATACCGGCTCTATTCAATTCTACAAGCAACGAGGCTCCGTTACTAGCCGACGCCGCTAGTATAGTCTAGTAGCTTCTAGCCTAGCAAGAAGAGCCTCCGGACGAACCTACTTAGCAAATGCCTAATAAGGTCGCTAGTCCGCTACCGCTCGATAACGACCTTCTAGACGTTTAACTACTAGCTTCAAGTAATAAAGATAGCTTTTAGTTAGCCGAGGAAGAGCTAGCATATAATCTAAACGCTAAGAAGGGCGAGCTAGGCTAGTTGCCTAAGTTTGAGCGACTAGCTGAAGCTGTTAGTAATCGTTCTACGCGTAAGATACGGAGCAACAAGTCGGCTCGTAACCTGTTACGTAGCTATCTAGCTAATTGTAGTATTAAGCGGTTAACTCGACGTATAATAGCTAATATGCCGATAGCCTATATAAAGGGCTTTATAGCTTCCTACTACGTTACTAAACAGTTAGATAGAGACACTATTCCTATTCCGAAGAGCTATAAGGAGGCGACTTAGTCGCTATACTAGCTATAATAGAAGGAGGCCTATAAGGCTGAATATAAGTTACTAATCGACAACTATATATAGGTATATATATCTCA